TGCTTGAGGTGAGCAACAAAAGGCAGCTCTAACTCTACTCCTCAAGACTCCACAAAGTCTAAGGTTAAATAGCCCCATCCTGAGACTTCTCCAAAGCCAATGCAGCCACTGTCCTCATATTAGCAAGCTGGGTACCTCAAATCCTGCTCTCCATAGCATTGGGAAGGCAGGACACAAGGACACACAGCAAAGTTAATCTAATGCTATACTAATTTCCAACTACTCTTTAAAATGGTAAATTCAGAAGAACAACAAACAATATTACAAACTGCTAGTTATTAACGTGAAATAACATGACTAAGAGGTGACAAATCTAAAGGTGTGTGCTTCAGTTGCACAAGTAATAGAGCAGTACGTGTGGCCATATTTTAATATCTTATATACTAGGCAACTGTTCTTTTTTATGTAATTTTTCTGATTTCAAAGAGAAGTTCCTGAAAGGAACTTTATGAAGCCTTATATTTCTTCGAACTAGGTTACATCAGGCATACTTTTAGGAAATAGAATCCATTCAGATGCCACACTTAAAATCTCAACTTTATGGGATACAAATTACCGCCCTTCACGCCTGAGTTCATCAGGACAACCCTGGCTTCTGCTACAAGTAGGCAGATCAGAGAATTAAAACTACATGCAAAACATTTGGACAGACAAGTTGTCACTGCATTCTCAAACATAGATTCATCCACAACAAAGAAGAGAGCATCTTCCCTGCCTGGTAGTGACTCCACATATTGGACATACTAGAATGAGTCTACATTATTTTTTTGTTAATCACTGAACACATGAGAAAGAGCTTCAATTACTAAAGGCCAAACTACCATACAAGTAGCATGCCACTGCTACCATTATCAACAGTCCACAGCAATTTATATGTGTTACACAAAAGAGGCAGAAAAAGGTCAGGCTCAAAACATGGCTTCTTTTTTCAAGAAAAAAATCTCAGGGATACTTACTTCTGGAAAGACTCTAGTTTTATCAGTGATCTAGCATTGAAGGAGTATGTACTAACTGCTTTTTGAAGCATAAATTAAAGTTATCCATCCACCTCAAAAACAAACCAGACCAAAATAGAAAGAAACTTCTAACTACAGCAAAAATAGTATTATAATTACAAGGAATTACAACGTTTTATGTCAACCTTACAAAGAAAAGCTTTTCCATGTCTACACCTGCCCCAAACATCCTATTACAGGAGCTGACCTGTATTTTACATTCTTTTGAGTAACACCTTAGGAGTTCCTTTCTCCCTAGTGGCAAACCATCTTCCTCCCATTGAGAGAATTCAGTGAGATATTTCCTTCCAGATCACTACAGACAAAAAAAAAAAAAAAAAAGTAGAATTCAAGGGGAAAAATGACCCAAAGAAAAACACTGCTTTGACTGGAGTGGACCCTCCACTGACGCCCCATGTGCCTGGCTTTATTCCATTTTAGAATAGAAGCTCTGATGGAACGATAGAACACTTTCTTCTACCACTATTAAACTCTACGCGTGTTAAAAATCAAAACCAAAACTGTTTGGCTGTTCCTTAGAGTACTTTTATGACAGATCTGCCATGCATTCTTGTCTCCTTGACACATTCCCCAAAGAAGAAACCCAAAGGCCTCAATGTGCCTTTGGCCACACACTGACACAGAACAACCACACCAGGAACAGCTACGCTTCCTGCATGGCTCAGGCACAAAAGCACTCTACCTGTTGAGATGGTGACAGGGCAGAATCAGCTAAAGAGCCAGTAGATTTCATGTGTAAAGCACTTCTGACCTTGAACTCAGTGAGATTCCTCGATTGCTGCAAACTCTGCAAGAAATGAGATCAGAAGTAAGGTTTCATTTCAGGTGTACAGATGGCTTTGTATATGTACAATCCTCTGAAAAGGTCATGTGCTTACACTATCTGGAGCTACAAATGTTGAAATACATTTAAGGTTTCTGCAAAAATAAACAAGTTTTTAACCGACTTTGCAAGAGCAATCCAAGTTCTGTCATTTTAGCTTATTGCTAGCTGTTAGTCACACTAGATGGTTACCTATTTAGATTTAAGGCTCGAAGAGATTATTAGAAGTTATTATTCTGACCTACTTCACTTAATTCTTTGGTTTGGCCCACCAGGAACCACTTAAGAAAAAAATCCAAACTTCAGAATTAAAGATTGCAACAGCTGAAGAACTAAAAAAAAAAAACCAGCAAAATTAAGTTTGATTCTTTTACAGACTGCGTTTTAGTCTAGCTAAAATTTGTCCAGTTTCAGTCTTCAGACCCAAGAACTTATTAAGCAGCTGCTTAAAAAGCTCTTTACTATAACAAGCTGCTTCTTCCATGCATTCATACCCATAGATTATCACTAAAACTTAACAGAGGTGGAACCAAGGTGATATACCCAAAGGAACAATAATATTCTTATCCCCAGATATGGTCTCACAAATCCTTCAGGAAAAAAAAAGAAAAGAAAAGAAGCCATTTCTCAGAAATCAGAAACAGAACTACCGGAAAAAGGAATGCATTCTATATTACAGTAGGTAGTTTTAGCCACCCAAAAGAAGCCAAAAATAAATCCTTCTTCTTACATAATATTTTAATTCATACATGTTGCCACAGAATTCATGACCTTTGTATATTTACAAAGATCAGGCCAAAAATCTTGTTAATACACTGTTTCAGGTCTTACTACACAAGTTTAACCAGTTCCCATGGCAAAATAAGAAAACAGCTTTAAAGTAAATGGAACATGAACTGCTCTCCAGAATCCCAGACTGAAATGCAGATGTTATGTACTCTGTACATATAAGGTTTATTTTTTCTATTAAGAATACACCCTTGTTGGTAGAAGATGGCCTGACCACTGTACAGCAAAACTAGTTAGTACACAAAAAAAATTTAACAGACACCCCCCCACACACACTGCACCAGATAATACTAAAGTAGAAAAGATGGAGTTTGTCCTAAAATATTGTGAAAAATTTAAAGTAGAACAAATAGAATAGAGGAACAAGAACAGAGACAGTATTAACAACTTTAACCTATTCTACTTCAGGTATTTCATTTTCTTATCAAAGACATTATTTGCAGCACCTGTTAAGTTTTTTTCCCTTCCGAGCTGCTTGGTTTTAAAACCAATGGATATAGGAAAAAATATCCAGTTTTAAAAAAACTATTTTCTAAACAAAAACTCACCTATCTCAAATAGTTGATGACAGGATGCTGGGACTGTATCTCATAAGGAACATGCTATACCAGCTCTTTCAGTATGTTTTTAACTCGAATGAAGAACTGGAAAACACAAAGATCTGCACTACACTTTTGTACAGGGTTTCAGGACATATAATGAGTCACCAATTTCTGATCTCTAACATCATTTAGACTGCCTTTTCCAAATGTCAACAGGCTTGATGCTATTACTCTTTCCTTAAAGACTCTGGCTGAACATTCCCATCCAAACACATTCCATAGCCGATGACAATAGTGACTCAGCTAAAACAAGGTTTTGTAAGAGCATTACAGCTATGTCAACAAAACACACTCCTAAAAAGATCCTATCTGCAATGAATCTGTCACTCCTACAAATTACTCTT